GTTTTGGCTCAACCCATGAGCTTTTTATTCCTGTCCTTCCTATTTCCTCCCTGGGTCCTGCTGAGGGCAGGAGGCAAGTGGCTGAGTGAGTGTTTGCTTGCTAACCAACGCAAACTCACCACAGAGTTCAAAGCCCCAGAAGGAACAATATAGGAGCAAAAGAGATCGAAAGCATCACCAGTGTCCTGAGTCCCTGAAGTGTCAGCTTTAAAAAAAGACACCCTAGTGATCTTAAGAAATGAACCATGGCTTATGCCAAAGAGGAAGCTGGAAAACCAAAACCAAAAAGGCAATGTTCACTGCCAATTAGGCTGAGGATGAAAGTCTTTTTGACTCCAAATCTGATGATCGCATTAATCCTGAACATGTGAACAGACACAAGCCACATGTCCCAGACTTTCAGTGCCATGTGGACGGCTAGAACATCTGACCAGCATCCCATCTCTTGGCCATAGCCTGTCACTATTGTATCTGAAGATGAAAAACACTTCCAGAATCCAAAATGCTCATTAAAGAAGAGGGGAATGGGAGGGAAAAAACTCCCTGGCCTTTGTAAAACAGAAACAAAAGTCTGTTGAATGAAACTAACACAATAGGTACAGGATGAAACAAACAGTCATAAACAGAGGTCACATATCTTTGATTCTTTTTCAATATACCATTAAAATAACTATTGAACCATGGCTTACATTATTTAATTCCTTTCAGAAGGCTCTTAGGCATGGCATTGATGAATGTTATGCAGGTCCTCTCTAATATAAAGTTGTTATGTTGTTGTGTATGTTTAAATATTTCAAAGATGTTCTGTAAAGAGATAAAGTATTTCAACGGTAATAACTAATTTATTTGTACTGAAGGTACTTTAGTTTGACTACATTTTAATTTCAAATTCTTGTCAGCCATCGATTTCCTTGGGATACCAATAAGATAAATAAAGTTGTTAACCAAATGAGACTTCTAAATCAAAATGTGTGTAATAAACTGCAGGCTTTTTGTGTTTGCTACCAAACATCAGTGTTAGAAAGAATCTCTATGAGATTTGTTTCTGATAAACACTAACTCGAATTTCAATAAAGTGATAAACAATAGCTCACAGAGAAGAAGCTTTTCTATAGCAAAAGGAATGAATGGCGATGTCTGATTTTGGTAGCTTCAAAAATAATAATTTGGACCATGGGAGACTTATTTTAGTTCATCTTTCCTGGACATATGTTACACTACATATTTGCATTGGTAAAGGGATGGCATCTGCCATTCTTATATAGATTAATATATATATCATTCTTCATATACTTCAGTTTTTATTGGCACAGTGAACAGAGTAAGGTACTATTCATAATAGGGGTTACTTTTTAGAATTAGGGGTGGAATTAAATCTTCTGAGGCAGAAACTACAGAAAATAATAATGATTGCAAGTGCTCAGAAAGTTGAAAACATTTGATTGCTTTGGGAAAAAAAGAATCAGTGAATTTGAAAAGAATAACAGGATAATCAGGCAAGTCATATTTTACTACTCCAGTCTAAGAGCCTTTTGGGTTTCCAGCACAGAAGGCAATTTATGGATCATCAATCTATTATTTGTGGAAGTAAAAGGAGAAAAAATACTTTTGTCCAAAGACAATGGTCTTGATTCTGATGTTTCTGAGGCAATAAAAGTATATGCAAGTGTAGATTATATTTTTGCCTTTTTTACTATAGGCACCATTTTAGAATCCCAACTTACTGCTTACAAATTCTGTAAACAGACATCTGGCTGCTAAATCTGCCTGCTCCTTTGGAGGTGCCAAATGAAGCTTTTAGAACTAGTAAAGATATGTTTATTATACTTACAAGATCCTTAAAATGGCAGGTCCTCTGAGTTCATAACATTTGTCATTTGTGAATAATTGCTTTTGAAGTGGAGGTCAGGAACTGAAGCCAGAAACGAATTGATGTTGGCTACAGTTTGTAAACAAGACTCCCTTGCCATGCTAACTCGATTGTCCCTGTTGTTATTTCCTTTGGCTTGCTCTTAACCTTGTTCAGTTAAAGTAACTACAGAGAAATTAAAAGGCTGATTGAGTTTGGGGAGACATATTTTCTCATATAAATGCAACGTCTTAAGAAAAGAGTTTAGGGCATTCAAAATTTTTCATGTATATCTGGGGATGTAACTATATTCACAGGTATAATGTGATTCTATATGTTCAGTAGATATGTAAGAAGTGATTAAAACATTTTATTTTTCAGAAAATTCAGAAGTAGAGTGACTATAACATACTGCCCTCTCTAAATTTACTCATCTTGGTCATCTATTAGCTAGATTTTTTAAAAGAAAACTGTGCTTACTGAACATAAAAAAGCAAGAAATTAAGCTTTTATTATTTGGCTTTAAGCCAAACTCAAACTTTGAAAAAACATTGACTCCAGGAATCAGTGATGGACATTCCAGCAAAAGGAAACAGAAAGTATCTGGATCAAACAACTGGTGACACACACCCAAAATCTTGTTCTAAGCAAAAAAGGAACATACTGTACATATGGAAATAAGAAATCTTTGTCTCATCAGCATTTTAGTAGTAGTGTAGCTATCCAAATCATTAGTTCAGTTTTGATGCTATATGTTCAGAGAAAATTATACAGAAAAATCTCATAAATTATATCCTTATAAATATTATATGATAAAAATTACTATGATCTACCTCTTTTCCCTGGAACTATGCTCACCCTTCCAATGTCCACTTGGGTTGAGTTGACAGTGCCAAACATCTTTCTCCATCAGAGAGGAATGTGTTTTACAGCATGTCATTGCCTCCCTGAGGTCATCATTGGGAGTGGTATGATGTCCATGGTAGTGGAATCCTTTCCTCTGCAGTCTTGGTGTCCAACTGGAGTTATTTTTGGATGTTTTCTTAACAAGGTCAGCTTCCAGCTAAAATCTGAAATTTGTCCAGTGGCATCCCTTTAGCGCAGTCTAACACAAAGGGCTGTTAACTTGTCCCATAATGACTACCTATGTTTTTCAGTCCTTTGCCACATGCAGTATTCCCAGACATGAAGCTACAAGCAGTCAGGCAAAAGTCACTTTATCACTAGACAATTATTAAAGCAAGCTAAATCCGGTTCAGGCCAAGGCAAACATAAAAAATCCTGAGATCTTGAACTGCCAGTTCAATATTACAAATGCCATTTCAATAATACAAAGCCTGTGTCCTGTTACTAGTAGTGGCAAAAATCACATTTACTGTGCTACAACAAAGGAAAACAGTGGGAACAAGGAAAACCAACAGTAGAAAGAGCATGAAAGAGTATATAGAGTATAAGGTATACAGTATATAGAGTATGGAGTATAGAGTATATGGTCTAGTCTCTCTGAAAAAGGACAGTTTCATGTAACAGCGAAGCCACTACCATGTCATGTCACTTGGAGTTCATGAATCATTTCAGGTACTTGTTTTTAATGGCAACCCTTTAAAAAAGGTGCAATGATTTTATAAAGATGATGCGAAAAAATTGCAGTCTCTTTCAAAGCAACATGATGAAGATGAACTGATGCAAGCCTGTGTTTGCAATAAAAATTCTGTAGAAATGTTGACAAAGTAGTGCTTTACAATATGCATAGTTTTTGGGGAATAAAATAGTGACCTTTCTTTTTTTCAAAATGTCAGTACTTTTTATATAACAAAGTATTAGAATCTGCAGGTTGAGAAATAATTTTACATTACACAGGGGTTTCAAAAATAATTAGAATTTTGCAATGACATGTTGCAGGTCAAAGATTAGGGTTATGGAAAACTAATTAAGAATTTTTTTAGAGGGTCTTTGAAGTAATTTCATAAAGGCCTATTGCCTCCCTATATTTTAATATCCTTACTTCTTGCATCAGTTTTTCACACCGGATCCTGAAAATTGAGTGGTCTGCATCTACTTACAGGAGCTCTCACCGGCATAAAGGCGGATTTAATGCAGTGCTCCAATTAATAACTTTAATCATCCAAGACAGTGGTGTTTGGTAGATCCGTGATTAAGTTTGATAGGAAATTTTATATTGTAGATGTATTTTTTTATAAAATGCCAATTTGTCAAAGTGAAAGCTGTTTAAATAAAGACAGCTTTTTTGATAAAATGCTTTGGAAAAAATGTTTTTACATTTAAATCCCCCCAAATTAGTATTTTTTTATTTTAAAAGTATTTTGTTTTTAAGACTATACTGAGTCATATTAAAAAAAATGCATTAATTATTTTACAAGGTAATGAATAAGACTAATGAAAATCAAAACAAAAGTGTTGATTTATATTTAATTAAATTTTTTAAACTGCTGATTCATGAGCATTTTTGGCGTTTTCAGTATTTAATCTCTGTTGAGAATAGGAGCTTCCTGTGATGAGAAAACATTTTCCTCTCAGTTCTGTTCGTGAGTGTTTGCTGGGAAATTGCAGTAAAATCTCAGGTATATTGGTTACTGAACTTTGTATTTCTCAGGAAAAAAAAAAAAAGTCTAGGGAAAGATGTTTTCTGAAATCAGTTATTACTAAAATTTTAACTATTTGTCTTTCTTGTCACAAGTAACTCAGCCAAACCACGCCATTCTAGCTGGCAGTGATCAGCTTTGATGTTCTGTCATCTGCTGGAGGAATCTGTTTTTGATTCATCTCTGTTTGAGCCACTGGGTTTAGGTCCAGGGAACATGGTTAAATCTTCACTGTCTTAATCTGCTTTTGCTACATAGGTATTTTAAAGGATACCACATATATATATATATATAAATATATATATATATAGTCCTGAAGTATATGCTGTTTCTCCAACAGTCGAACTGAAGTCGGATACAAGAACATAGTTTTGATTGCATACATGTCTATAGTTCCTTTACTGAGAGTTTAATGTATTCTGAACTCTACAGACAGTTTTCCATGTTTAGCTCACTCTTTGCTGCATTGTCATGGAAAGAAAAAAAAAAAAAAAAAAAGGGGGTGGGCAGCCAAACTTTTGGTTTAATGAAATTGCCAGATCTGGAATATGCTGCCCAGCAAACATCAGGTGGTTCCAGGTGAGCTGGAGAAATGCACGTGAGGAAGAGAACTGCAAGAAAGCAGACTATCCCCACCTTCAAATTCTGCCCCGAGAATGAAAACACCTGGGCTTGAGCAGGTTTGTAAGGAGGGGGCTGCTTGCTAACACAGATACACTTCTTGAAACAAAAGTCAGCAACTGCAGGGAGAAGCTTTGCCAGGTGACACCAGTTTGGGAAGCAACTCTGGTCTTTAACAGCCAGCACTAACAGACTTCAACAAATTGCTTCCAGTGAAGTTCTGCTCCAGTCTAAGATGCACAAAGAAAAAAATTACCTTTCTTGTGTTTGAGTTTATTAGACCAAGTGAAATTTATTCTGCACCCTTGATGAGGTATCCCGTCATTCTTACTCCCAAAATTAAAGTCTCCTATGTCTCTTCAGCAATTAATGTAAGTGCTAAGTAATCATTTCCCCCTATCTGATAAAAGTCAAGTAGCTTTATTTAAATGTCAGCAATCATTCTGCTTCCTGCTATCTCCTTCCTCACAACACATCCTATCTCCTTTAATGCACGATGTCAGTCAAGAGTTTTGATTTTAACATAGCTACTTTGCATTTTTTCATTCCTCTGGGAGTTCTCCACTCTCTCCTCATTCTCTTGGGGAAGGAGCTTTTATTTGATCAAAATAATTCAAATAACCCCTGTTTGTCTTACTAGGTAGTGAGTTAATGTAACCTGTTCTACTCTTTTACAGAACCAGTGACCCCATGGACCTTATGCCTCTTTGGACAGCAATGTGAAGAAAAGGAAATAGGTATCCAGAGGTGGTGTCTTTCTCATGGCTTGAAGTATGCTCTAATACATATGCTTCTCTGGCTTCTGTCAGAATAATGAATTCCCACACCAACATTTGTTCACCATTTCACATGCATTCACAAAGCCTCCTGCAGTGAAGGCACGTGAAAGGTGGTTGTTCTAGTCCCTGATATTTCAGAATGATATGTGGGTTCAGAGCCCTTACATTTTTAATTTTGGGGGATAGGAGCCATCTGTCTTGTAGCTGTGTGCATTACCTAAGCCAAAATAGGTCCTATTGCATTCCAAGCAAATGAACATACTCTCCAACACTTAAAAACTAATTATGCTCATTGTTTATCACCAGTATCTTCAGTGTGAGAGAAGATACTTTATCCTTCAGAAACTAAGTAGACCATGGTCCCAAGCAGTAAACACCAATCTGACTACGACATTCTCTAGTACAGCTCATAAGCAAAAGAAATGCAAGCAGTTGAGCTGTGCTGATGCTGTGATGACTTAAGGATGTTTTCTATTACACATGCTAGCTTTCTCCAAAAGGATTTTTATTCAGGATTCTTCTGTAACAGTACTCCATGCAGAGTGTCCTGGTTTGAGCCCAGAGGGCAACGAGCACCACACAGTCGCTCACTCACCCCTCCATCCACAGTGCTGGGAAGGAGAAAAATAAAGAGCTCAGGAATCGAGATAAGTACAGGGAGGGATGATTCAGCCATTATAGTCATGTGCAAAAGACAGACTCGTTAGGGGAAGAAAAAAGAACATCAATTTTATTCAGACACTAACAACACTTAACAGACAAAATAGGACAGTGTGAGCTATTACTACATCTTAAAAATAGCTTCCTCCCACCCCTCCTTCTTCCCCAGCTCACCTTTGATCCCAGTTTCTCCACCTCCTCCCTGCAGCGGCACAGGGGACAGGGAATGGGGGGTACAGTCAGTCCTGAACTCTTTCCTCCTCAGGGAGGGAGAGGTGCTCTTTGTGTTCTTCCTCTACTCCAGCGCAATTCCTGTCTCACAGGAGACGGTCCTCCACGAATTTTCTCAGATGTGAGTCCTTCCCACAGGCCACAGACCTCCCCAAGATGCTCCTACACATTGCAGTCCTTCCAGCACAGAACTACAACAGCGGTGGCTTTCCACAGAGTCCTAGCCGCCTTCATCATCAACAGCCTGCTCCGCCATGGGGTCCTCCACGGGCTGCAGGTGGGCATCTGCTCCACTGTGGACTGCCATGGGCTGCAGGGGAGTCTCTACTCTGGCACACCTGCCCCCCTTTCTCCTCTTTCCTTCCACTTACCTTGGTGAACACAGATATTGTCCTCACAACACCAACTCCTCCTCTGAGGTTTCCCTTCTTAAATATGTTATCACAGACACCACTAATTGCCTTGGCCTTGGTGCAGAGGCGGGTCTGACTTGCAGCTGGAGGAGCTTCAAGAAGCTTCTCACAGGGGCCATCACTATTAGCCCCCTCCCCTGCTACCAAAAACCCCTGCCAACTCACTCAAACCCAACACACAGAGATACTTTGAAGTGGCATTTTTGGAAATAATACCTCTGAAATTTGAAGCAGGGTGAGTGGTTACCCCTGGGGTAGTTTTCACCTATTGTTTTTCTAACTCAGGGCAGTGTCTCTGTGTATCACCAGCAGTGCCGTGTAGACAGAGGCAGCACAGCTCTCTGCCCACTGCTGAACTGCATAACGTAGACACTTCCAAATGCAAGCAATGAATGGCATTGCCACAACATATTACCTGCTAATTATTGTTGTTCATGCACCAGATGTTAGATGGAGATGGAGAGTAGTTATTAAATCATAAGGAATGAATCATTCAGGAGACCTCTGAAAAGGGAAAAGCTGAAGAATTAGAAATACTTATTTTAATCACCTTTGCGAAACTTATATTCAACCTCCAAGATACAAGTGTGCTCTAGCACATGTGCTCCTTTGGCTTCATAAGGAACACTGCATTTCTTTAAAATGCAAACTTTCTACAGTTTGTTACAATTACTAGAATTATGTTCCAAAGAACAGCTGTGTGACTATTAAGACGCCTTCACAAATGCAGTTTTGCATACTTTTCATTGAAGTACAGTTAAACCCATACATTTTAAAAATATAATGTGTGAAAATGTTCTTCAAATTTGTTGCCAAATATCCACAATATACAGAAAAGACAGGGGGGGTGGGTACATACAGAGAAAAATGTATACCAGATGTACTTTAAGTTCAACAGCCACATTAGAATACTAAATATTTTTTTTTTTCATGGTGAGTATTCAGAGCTTAAATCTCATGTAATTCCTGGTTGTAAGTCAGTAAGGGAGGCAGTAACTTTTGAAAGGCTCACATATGGCTCTTAGAGGGAAAATGGATTAAGCCAGTGAATGGGAGATAATACCTCAGGTAGATTTTTAAATGTCTGAATATGAACTGCAGAGAATTTCTAAAAAGTATTCAACTGGTAACATTTTGATCACAAATGTCTGCAGTTTCCAGAGGCTTTGCAAAATCAAAACCCAGTATTTCCCAAAGATGCACAAAGATAATTTCATACTACTGGGAATCAATAAGCATTTGGTGAGAGGAAAAATCTGGTGGTTTTATGAACTGTACCTGTCTAGGATCAACCCTAACACGTTAGTCTGATAACTTTGTCTACAAAAACAGAAAGAGAGAGACGAGCAATTTTTCTTCATTTCAGTGTTGTTGTTATAGTTGGAAGGAATAAGCAATTCATGGAGTTCTGCATCCAAAAAAATTTCCATTAAGTCTGTTCCAAGAATATCTGGAACTGAGTGATCACAGGCAGCATTTCCTTGACACATTTAATAATGACAAGCATATACCTATAAAATAATTTTGATTAAACTGAGTTTCAAATTTAAAAGACATTAATAATTTCTTTGATTAAGTGCTAAAGTATAATTTTATTTTTACAAATAGTTTAGAAATATAAAACCCTGGCAACTGAAGCACTTACTTGAAACAGATATTTGGTTTAGGTTTCACCAGTTCTGTGGAATTTTCCATTATATGTCTTGCTGAAAGATGCATGATATCATCAAAACACTGGTGATTGACGTGTCCCAGGAAGCAGAATTTTAACTGTTCCATATGAAATAGCTGTCTATCCACCATGGACAGAAAAAGTCCAGCAATTTCCCAATCAACCACAAGCCTAGGCTAGTATTATAGAAGTAAATTCTTAACTTACTGAATTTTTATTTTCTTTTAATACAAGATTCCTAATGGTAACAAAAAGGTTTTTTTCCTTACTAGCATTCTTATGAAAGCTTGAAGTAATCTTTCCTTGCCACTTCAACTTCCCCTATATGTAAGAGAAAAAGGGGCAGCTGAGGAAAAAAAAAATCCTTTACAAAACTAGCTAAAAAGTAAAAAAGGAATTTTACAAGGTAGTCTTTGGGGAACAATATCAAATACTGAAAACCTCAGAGTTTGACATTATCTATCTAAACTAAGTGAGGGACCATATTCTTCAGGAAGTACCTGAAAAGCTCATACACTGAGATAAGTACATCAAACTTTTCTTCTTCTGGTTCCACACTTTGATAAGCAATTTTCCCAGTCAGTCATGTTTGTATTGCATTTTCCATCGAAAGAAATGCCAACATACATCATAAAACAAGACCATATGTTACTAAAACAGTATATATAAATATGTTTCAGAAATGAACAGTTCTCTTCTGGAATGAAAGATTGAGACCCAAATCGCATTACAGTTTTCCAATTATAATTTTGTCATCTAGAATGTGGAAGATACACAACCCATAACCAGTTTACTTATGCCAGCAGGTTCCCAGGCACAGGTACTCCTATGCCAAAAAAATATCCACGGTTTAGCTTCCATACTTCAGGAGGATGGTGTCAATCTGCCAGCAGGAAATTGTTCCTTCATTCAGCTTACAGTGATTCTCCGTGATGGGGCTGTGTCTTGGCAAGGACTAGTATAATGGAATTCGGCCCTAAGGATGGAAAATTCCAGTCCTGAAGTAATTGATTCGATCAAGTTGAAAGCTAGTGACATTTCAAGAGGCACGAATAAGGAGGGAATGAGAGCAAAAGCTGAAATTCAGACTCTATTATAGAGCGTATTGTCTATTTGCATTACAAAAATAGGCTTCTTATAAATACATTCTTCCACTGAGCATCATAAAAAAATTCAGAGATTGACTGGTACAGAGTATCACAATGTATTTATTAATCTTAAAACTGACATAGTTATTTGAAGAAAAATGCAAATTTTTACCTGAGAGAAAAATCTTAATACTTCAACTATATATCAAGGACTTTGGTAAAATCTTCATCACTGACCGCTTTTTAAATTGAGACTGTGTGTTTGTCTAAGAGATATGCTTCTGTTCCAGTGGGAATTAATTCAAAATCTCATGGACTGTGTTATGCAGGTCAGACTATGTAATTGCAAACGTCCTATATAATCAGTTAATCTACTAATTCAATTTTATACTATGCATTTCATATAAATTCTTGTATCCAAATAACAGAGCCACAATGAGTGATTTTAAACTCTTTTAAAGGCTAGAAGAAAACCAAAGGGTTAGAAACACAGTAGAAAACATAAGCTGGAAAACAAAATGGAAAGGATCCCAAAATTATTAACTCAATACTAAAATCTATTATCTAATAAGCAGACAGCTAACATTGAGTTGTGTAGACCCCAGCTTTTCTCTTCAGGTGAGGACCCTAAGCACTAGGCTACCCTGTTGTTTTCACTTCTGGGCTTTGTACTTCTGGCGGCTTCACAATAATTCTGTTTCAGTGGGAAAAAATGAATTTGACCCATCTTCTTCAGCTGTTAAGACTATTTGATGGGACTTGGTGTCATTACTTCCTGCTCTCAAGCAGAGAGGGAGATCAAATTAGTCAAGAAATAGTTCTTGACTTCTCTTTTGACCTGTTTCTGAATGACAGCCTTTATTTTTTTAAATGACCATTGTGTTTTGTGATGGACACTGATGAGTGTCAGGTATGTTCTGACTCATGTTTGAAACAATGCAGGGCAGCAAACATTTTGAAATAGAGTATCTTGTCTATGTCAGGCACATGCCCAGGCCATTGAAAAAAAAAAAAAAAAAAAGATAACTAGAAACTATAATTAAAAAATAAATTCTTATTAATTTTGCTAAAATATTGGATCTGAAATCATGCAAATTCCTAAAATGTATTCTCTGCATACACACTGTACTGGGTCTGGCTGGGATAGAGTTCATTTTCTTCACAGCAGGCTGTATGGTGCCATGTTTTCAACTGGTGGCCAAAAAAGTGTTGATAGCACACCTGTGTTTTAGGTATTGCTGAACTGTGCTTGCACAGTGTCAAGGACATTCCTCCTTCTCACTGTGCTGCCCCAAAGAGTAGGTCGGGGTACACAAGAGGTTGAGGGGGCACACAGCTGGGACAGTTAACACCAACTGACCAAAGGGATACTCTATATAATATTATGCTCAGCAAAAAGACAGGGAGGGAGTTTTTCCAAAGTGACCATTGCTTGGGGCCTGTCTGACAGACTCTGCTGTAGTGAGTGAGTGCTTCTAGCATCACTTGTTTTCTTGTCTTTTTTTTTTTTTTTTTTTCCCCCCCCTTCATTTATTAAAGTACTTTTATCTCAACCGATGAGTATTTTATCAGTTTCACCCTGTCAGTTCTCTCCCTCAGCCTCTTGGGAGAGAGTGACTGAGTGACTGGATGGGGTGTTAGTTGACAGCTGGGGTCAACCCACCATAGACACGACATTCAAACTTGTATTATTAACGCCATGTCTACACCTAAGTTATTGTGGGAATAGTCAGATTTTGGCAAACATTTTGAAAACTATATTTCTAAATTGTAAAACAGTATAATATGAAGTATGCTAAATTTGTACTGATGTAAAGTTCTCTTAAAAGACCTGTTCCATTTTAAGTTAGGAGAAAAACTAACTGGATTTTTTTGAGACAAAAAAAAAATCAGAATTCAATAGGATTTTGTCACCTAAATCCTTTACAAGGAGATTCTTAAAGGACAGAAAATGCATCATCTATTCTAAAGATTCATGCAGATTAAGGACTACAGACTCACAGAACATTTTTAAATTAATATGCATAAGATGTCTGTTCAATGCCCAGTATATTGTTCAAAACAATTTTTAGACAATATTTCTTCTTCTGCCAGGGTGTTTTTT